TGGCTGCTGTACTAGAAGGCAAGGTAGAGTGGATGCTTGCCAGGAAAGCACAAAGTTCACTCTAATAATCTATCATCCATCATAAAGGAAAGAGCCAGTGAAAAACAGGGAAATGGTAAGAGACATTAAAAGAGGGTCTTAGAGAAACACGTTTCTCAGTCCACAGTAGAGTTTTGAAGAGTGGAAAGGTTTTTTTTGTTCTGTTTTCTGTTTGTTTTTTGAGACAGGCTCTGGCTGTGTTGCCCAGGCTGGAGTGCAGTGGTGCCCTTCTGGCTCACTGCAGCCTTGAACTCCTGGGCTCAAGTGATCCTCTCACCTTAGCTTCCAGAGAGCTGGGACTACAGGCATAAATAGAAAGGGTTTTGAAGGACTGGCACTTGTAAATTCAAACAGCCTTTGGATTTGATAGGAGACCACCAGTGAGCTTAGAACAATGCCTACAGTCGAGTAGTAAGAATCAGATGGTGTGTTGGTGATGAACAGATATATGGCAATGATATAGAAACAGCAAATCTGTATATTTTTCTTTTTTTTTTTTTTAAAAAAGAAATTATTAAATAGAAGGTAGTAGTTTAAAGAAGAACTGGATTAAGGGAGGTTAAAAAGTAAATTGTGAAAAAAGTTTGTAAGAGACTGGGGTGGGTGCAGTAGCTCACGTCTGTAATCCCAGCACTTTCAGAGGCTGAGGTGGGTGTATCATGAGGTCAAGAGGGGGAGACCATCCTGACCAACATGGTGAAACCCATCTCTACTAAAAATACAAAAATTAACTTGGCGCATACCTGTAGTCCCAGTTACATGGGAAGCTGAGGCAGGAGAATCATGCAGAGGTTGCAGTGAGCCAAGATGGCACCACAGCACTCCAGCCTGGTTACAGAGCGAGACTCCGTCTCAAAAAAAAAAAAAAAAAAGAGAGACTTTTTGCCCTTGTTTGCTGGATGAAGAGAATGAGTTTATTGTTTGAGTCAGGCAATCTTGGTTTGACCTCTGGCTCTAAAGACAGCCTTCCTGTATGGCCCTGAACAAGCTACTCAATTTTCTCAGCTTCTGATTAATAATGAACGTAATAAACATTTCATAGGAAAGCTGTAAGGGTTAAGTAAGATAATGTAATTGTGGAACAGATTTGTCAACTAACCTGTAATACAAATATTAGTTGGTAGTAAGCACATTGTTTATTTAAACCCTATCTTCTCATAGAAGAATATAAGTTATGTTAGAAATAATAGTATGTAGAGCTGAAAGATATGTAGAGTTGAGAAAGGAAAAAGGCAAGTGAAAGAGGAGAAAGAATAAATGAGAATATGTAAATTAATAAAGCATGACCCCAGTTCAAAAACAGTTGTTCCTGTTAGCATGCCGTGTAACCGTGCAAAGCCAAAAGCCCTTAGACATAATTTTTGTTAGCAGTATTTTTTGTGGCCCCAGAGAGAGGCCTCTTGTTGACTTCTATATATACAGTTTCAGTTCCTTTTATAATAAAAAGAAAGGAACACAGTAGAGAAAGGCTATTGTTTAGGTTATCAAGATGTCTTTTATTTGAAGTTGTTGCAAATAGGAGCAATAGTGATAATAATGTTTAATAGTGATAATAATAAATAAATGTTTGATAGTAGCAGATGCTGTCATTTTATATCCCTAAGCTAGCGTATGATTGATTTTAGCTTTGTCTGACTCTAAAAATACTTTTAGCTACATTCTAGTCTAACTAATTCTAAAGTTCTTTGATGATACATTCTTATTAGTTAAGTTGGTATACCTTTTACAGTCATTAAATAGAATTTTATTTCTATGTGTTTATTTTTTAGGTTGAACAGTATCACATTCTATGCTTCATTTTAAGCAGTCCGACCGGGCATGGTGGCTCATGCCTGTGATCCCAACACTTTGGGAGGCTGAGGGGGTGGATCACCTGAGGTCAGGAGTTTGAGACCAGCCTGACCATGGTGAATGAATCCCTGTTTCTATTAAAAAGAAAAGAAAAAAAAATTTTAAGCAGTCTGATGTTTTCAATTATACAGGGAGAATAACATTACCTACTTTATATTGTGATAGTAAAGATAGAATGAGCTAAAACAAAACAAAACAAAAACCAGCTTAGAATGGTGCCAGGCATGGTTGTTAGTGGCTAGCATTATTGTTCTTGTTATTACTTCTTCATCAGTACTTGACATAAACCAGAAAACACTATGCGAATGGGTACTTCAACATACAAGAGTCATTGAAAACATTTGGGGATTTAGTTTTGAATAAATTAAGAATAATAAGTTTTCTTAACAACACCTCAGATTCCATGCTGGTTTCCATTGTGGGGATGGCACTATACACAGGATACGTCTTCATGCCCCAGCACATCATGGCGATATTGCACTACTTTGAAATTGTGCAATGACCGAGATGCGACCACGATCAGAGGTTCCTTGGGGAAGACCCACCCTATGAAGTTGGAATGAGACCATCAGATGTGATAAACTCTACTAAATGTCAACATAACCAACCTTATAAAGACTAAAATTCATGAGTAGAACAGGAAAATCATCCTGACTCATGTGTTGTGTTATTTTTGATTTTTAAAAGGCTCCTGTATAGCATTTTTGTCTATTTTAACATTGTAGCCATTTGTACTTTGATATCAGTATTTTCTTAACCTTTGTGACTGTTTCAATATTACCCCCGTGAAGCTTTTCTTAATGTAACTTTGAGTACATTTTAATTGCCTTCTATTTTTAAAACTCAAAATCCTTAGTTGGGCTTTACTGCTCTTGCTATTGTATGGCATATACATCTGCCTGGATATATTTCTACTCTTGACCAAAGTTTTGTAAGAACAATATAAGATTTCGGGTAGGGGTATGGGGAGGGAAGATATTTTATTGAGAACTACTTACAAAAGACTTATCTGTAAGCTTGAACTCAGGAGTACAGTTTTAGCTATCTAGACTCTAACAGCTTTTGCTTTAAAACTATTAAAGTATTTCTTAATGAAAAAGAAAAGATCTTGCTAAAGTTATAATAAGGAACATTTCGCCTTTTAAATATTTAATTCTTTGTGCACTTATTTCCAGAAAACTTTGGTGATAATTCTTGAGACAAAAGGTGGTTAATTAAGTAGCATTATTATGTAATGCTTATATATCATAGAGTTTTTAATAGAAGATAAATCCATTTCCTTTGAGGGTCACTGTTAACAGTGTACTTCCTTAAATTTAATGACTGTAATGGGTGCTGCATTTGCACACTGCATTAAGTTATGATGAGATGAATTGTTGTTAAAAATTATAGCAAAAACAAATGTAAACTTGGTTAAAATCCTTTCACTCTTTGTATTTTTTTTAAGACTTTTATTCCTTAAATGTAAAATGATTACCTAATTTTTTGATGTAAATTCATTAAATGCAAAGAGAAAAAAATCGGCTGATGTAGCAGTATATCTTTTTCTTGGTGGTTAAATATTGATCTAGTATTTATGTTTCTGAATTGCCTGTGGAGGACCAGAAAAGCAGTAAGTATGTCTTATTGTATGTCCTGCAACATAAAAATATTACTAACTAAAAAAAATTAGGCATTATGTGTTTTAACATGCTTTCCAGTATACGTTTTGCTAATTTTTAAAATTCAGGTTGTTTTTGTTTTTTTTTTGAGATGAGTCTCACTCTGTTGCCCAGGCTGGGGTGCAATGGTGCAATTTTGGCTCACTGCAACTTCTGCCTCCCAGGTTCAGGCGGTTCTCCTGCCTCAGCCTCCTGAGTAGCTGGGATTACAGGCATGTGCCACCGCACCTGGCTAATTTTTTGTATCTTTAGTAGAGACAGGGTTTCACCATGTTGGCCAGGCTGGTCTCAAACTCCTGACCTAATGATCCGCTGCCTCAGCCTCCCAAAGTGCTGGGATTACAGGCATGAGTCACTGTTCCTGGCCAAAATTTAGGTATTTTTTGCCCTAAATTTTAAGGATTAGACTTTTGAAGTATTTTATAGTTTAGAGGTCTCGAGTAATATATAAATGTTTAATATTTTTTAGACTCAATTTATATCATCACAATTAGATAGAGGTAGTGAGAATAATATGTAATTACCTGGTTTGAAGTAGTTAAAAATTGGATATGGTCATATCTGAACTATAGTCATACTATCTCAAGAAAAATACCGTGAGGATTTAACATAAATCCTCATGTTCTGCTAATGCCCAAATTTGGCTTTCCTCCACTATACCCCATAGAGAACCACTGACAGGTGGATGTCTAATATTCCTCTGGTGGGTTGAAGGCAGGAGAAGTTGAGAATTACAAGTTTCTGTGGCTATCCAGATGACCTATCCTGGCCTTCTATTCAGAAATCTGCAATTTGTCCTCAGTCTTTGCTGAAATTCATTAAATTGCTGTTGTATAACTGATGGTTATTATGAACACTGACCTGTGAGACATACGGAAGATAAAGTTTAGTCTTACAGGAAATCTTGAGGAGAGTCAAAAGGGAAATGGGAGCATGTCTATTGAGAGGTGATCAGGGAAGTTTATGCTCATTGTCTGATGCAAATGTCTGATCTATTTGTTAGTAAATAACAAATGGGGAAATCATTTTCAGTTTTTGTTTAAAATAACGTATTTATAAGCATACCTTGTAGTTATTGTGGGTTCAGTTTCAGACCACTGCAATAAAGTGAATATCTCAATAAAGTGAGTCATATGAAGTTTTTTGGTTTTTTCCTGCATATAAAAGTTACATTTACACCATCCTGTAGTCTAAAGTGTGTAATAACATTATGTCTTTAAAAGCAAACCCAATATACCTATTTTAATTAAAAAATTATTTATTGCTAAAAAAGCTAATGATTATTTGAGCCTTCAGCAAGTCATAATTTTTTGTTGGAGGGTCTTGCCTTGATATTGATGGCTGCTGACCGATCTGGGTCATGGCTGCGGAAGGTTGGGGTGGCTCCTCCAATCATAAATCTTAATTGCATCTAGAATGGTAAATCATTTCTGGAAGGTTTTCATTTGACTGCCTGAGTCCATTAGAGTAATTACTACCAATGGCAGCTATAGCCTTACAAAATGTATTTCTTTAATAAAGACCTCAAAGTCAAAGTAACTCCTTGATCCATGGGCCACAGAATGGATATGTTGGCAGGCATGAAAATGATATTAATTTCCTTGTGCATCTCCATTAGAGCTCTTGTGTGACTAGATGCATTGTTAATGAGCAGTAATATTTTGAAGAGAACCTTCAAAATAGTAGGTCTCAACAGTGGGCTTAAAATATTTAGCACATCGTGCTGTAAACAGATGTGCTGTCATCAGTCTTTATTGTTCCATTAATAGAATACAGGCAGAGGCCACACGGTCTTTGAGCTGAACCCGAAGTGGTCGTTTTTATCGCAGCTTCCCCATTTCCACGGATCCCTGCTTAAGCCTCCTGTGGAAGCCTGGGCCCGCTTCGTAGCTTTCTCCCTTTGTCTCATAACCATGTCCACCAACGAGAATGCACATACACCTGCTGTCCATCTTAACAGATTCAAAAACAAGGGAAAAGACAGTACAGAAATGAGGCGTCGCAGAATAGAAGTCAATGTGGAGCTGAGGAAAGCTAAGAAGGATGATCAGATGCTGAAGAGGAGAAATGTAAGCTCATTTCCTGATGATGCTACTTCTCCGCTGCAGGAAAACCGCAACAACCAGGGCACGGTAAATTGGTCTGTTGATGACATTGTCAAAGGCATAAATAGCAACAACATGGAAAATCAGCTCCAAGCTACTCAAGCTGCCAGGAAACTACTTTCTAGAGAAAAACAGCCCCCCATAGACAACATAATCCGGGCTGGTTTGATTCCAAAATTTGTGTTCTTCTTGGGCAGAACTGATTGTAGTCCCATTCAGTTTGAATCTGCTTGGGCACTCACTAACATTGCTTCTGGGACATCAGAACAAACCAAGGCTGTGGTAGATGGAGATGCCATCCCAGCATTCATTTCTCTGTTGGCATCTCCCCATGCTCACATCAGTGAACAAGCTGTATGGGCTCTAGGAAACATTGCAGGTGATGGCTCAGTGTTCCGAGACTTGGTTATTAAGTACGGTGCAGTTGACCCACTCTTGGCTCTTCTTGCAGTTCCTGATACGTCATCTCTGGCATGTGGTTACTTACGTAATCTTACCTGGACACTTTCAAATCTTTGCCGAAACAAGAATCCTGCACCCCCGTTAGATGCTGTTGAGCAGATTCTTCCTACCTTAGTTCGGCTCCTGCATCATGATGATCCAGAAGTATTAGCAGATACTTGCTGGGCTATTTCCTACCTTACTGATGGTCCAAATGAACCATCACGACATGGTCGTGAAAACAGGAGTTGTGCCCCAACTTGTGAAGCTTCTAGGAGCTTCTGAATTGCCAATTGTGACTCCTGCACTAAGAGCCATAGGGAATATTGTGACTGGTACAGATGAACAGACTCAGATTGTGATAGATGCAGGAGCGCTTGCCATTTTTCCCAGCTTGCTCACCAACCCCAAAACTAACATTCAGAAGGAAGCTACATGGACAATGTCAAACATCACGGCTGGCTGTCAGGACCAGATACAGCAAGTTGTGAATCACGGATTAGTCCCATTCCTTGTCAGTGTTCTTTCTAAGGCAGATTTTAAGACACAAAAGGAAGCTGTATGGGCTGTGACCAACTATACCAGTGGTGGAACAGTTGAACAGATTGTGTACCTTGTTCATTGTGGCGTAACAGAACCATTGATGAACCTCTTAACTGCAAAAGATAACAAGATTATTCTGGTTATCCTGGATGCCATTTCAAATATCTTTCAGGCTGCTGAGAAATTAGGTGAAACTGAGAATCTTAGTATAATGATTGAAGGATGTGGAGGCCTAGACAAAATTGAAGCTCTACAAAACCATGAAAATGAGTCTGTGTATAAGGCTTCATTAAACTTAATTGAGAAGTATTTCTCTGTAGAGGAAGAGGAAGATCAAAATGTTGTGCCAGAAACTACCTCTGAAGGCTATACCTTCCAAGTTCAGGATGGGACTCCTGGGACCTTTAACTTTTAGATCATGTAGCTGAGGTATAAATTTGTTGTGTACTATGTTTGGTATTTTGTCTTCCTGTTTCTCTACGAAGAACTCTTTCTAAATGTGGTTTATTATTGTAGCACTTTTTACACTGAAACTATACTTGAACAGTTCCAACTGTACATACTGTATGAAGCTTATCCTCTGGCTACATTTCTTATTTCTATGTGGAATTTCATATCTTGCAGCCTCCTGTAAATAAACATTAAAACCCACCCAAAAAAAAAAAAAAAAAAAAGAATACAGGCAGAGTAGATTTAGCATAATTCTAAGGGCCCTAGGATTTTTGGAATGGTAAATAAACATTAGTTTCAACTTAAAGTTACTGGCTACATTAACCCCTAATGAGAGTCAGCCTTGGAAATTTTGAAACTAGGCCCTGACTTCTCTCTAGCTATGTAAATTCTAGATGGTGTCTTCCAATATAAGGCTGTTTTATCTACAATGAAAATCTCATTTAGTATAGCCATCTTCATCAGTGATCTTAGCCATAGCTGCATAGTTTGCCACATAATCTATATTAGCATTTGCTGCTTCACCTTTATTTTAAAAGGATGGCTTCTTTCCTTAAACCTCATGAACCAACTTTTACTACCTTCAAACTTTTCTTCTGCAGCTACCTCACCTCTCTCAACCTTCCTAGAATTGGAGAGTTAGGGCCTTGCTATGGATTAGACTTTAGCTTAAGGGAATATTGTGGCTGGTTTGATGTTTTATCCAGACCGTTAAAACTTTATTCGTTTTCAGCAATAAGTCTGTTATACTTTTTTACTATTTGTGTGTTCACAGGAGTAGCATTTCTAGCTTTAAAAAAATTTATTATTTTTTCCCTTTCAGCAGACTGGAAGATTTCTAGCTTTTGATTTAAAGTGAGCAATGTGGCCAGGCATGGTGCTTTCTGTCTGTAATCCCAGCACTTTGGGAGGCTGAGGTGGGAGCACTGCTTGAGCTCAGGAGTTTGAGACTAGCCTGGGCAACATGGCACAACCCATTTCTACTAAAACTTAACCAGGCATGGTGGTGTGCACCTGTAGCCACAGCAACTTGGGAGGCTGATGTTGGGGGGATCGCTTGAGCCTGTGGGGGTTGAGGCTGCAGTCAGCCATGATTGCACCACTGCACTCCAGCCTAGGTGACAGAGAAAGACCCCATCTCAAAAAATAATAAATAGATGTATGACTCTTATTTTCATGTGAACATTTAGAGGCCATTGTAGGATTATTAATTGGTCTCATTTCAGTAGTGTTATGTCTTAGGGAATGAGGAGGCCTGAGGAGAGGGATAGAGACAGAAGAACTGCTGGTCAGTGGGGCAGTGAGAACATACACAACATTTATCAATTGAGTTCACCTGTTACATAGGCATGGTTTGTGGCACCCCAAAACAATAACATCAAAGATGACTGATCACAGATCACCATAACAGATACAATAATAATGAAAATTTGAAATGTTGCAGGAATTACCAAAATGTGATGCAGAGATATGAAGTGAGCACTTGAGCCTGGAAAAATGGTGTCATATACTTGCAGGGTCTATCGGCAGGGTTGCTACAAACCTTCAGTGTGTAAAAGATGCAATGTCTGTGAAACACAACAAAGAGATGGGCAATAAAACGAGGTACAGCTAATCAGATAATTCTCCATGGACCACTTGTGTTTCTGTGTATCTTATAAGCAGATGTACTGACTGCATTATTTTTCAAGGATGTTTATATGATAGAAAAGATAGAGATAGTGTCTCCCTCCAAAATGAAGGGCAAGTTTATTTAGAGCCTTGGAAGATAGAGAGTGTCTCTTTCTGGACCAAAGGACATTATAAAAACTTTAGATTCCCTATGCTCAGCGTTCCTTTCCTGTAATGCAACTATCTGCATGTATGGATATCACCTGGTCTTTGCATTGCCCTGTGGGAACTGGGGCTTGGGAAACAGAACAAGAAAATGTTGGTATTTTGACTATTGCTGTGAGCAATAAAGTTCTTTGTCTCTTACCCAGAATCTCATGTCTTCTGCTAGCATCTACTGTCAGACTAGCTTGCAAGTAGAATAAAAACTTAGACTTTTCATAGTTCTTGACAGTTTAGGTGATGAGGATGGGGTGCTGACAGATGTCTTCTGGAAGAGGAGGGATAATGAACCCATAAACTAGGTTTGAAGATGAGACAACTTGGATCATGAGGTAAATGCATTTGCCCAAGTATTGGGTGAGTTAAGAGAATAAGGATCCCCTAATAAGCCTCTAATTGATAGGGGCTGTGCACTTAGAAGTAGGATGGAAACAGCTGCCTAAATGGTGCCTCAGTTGCTACTCTCCTCTGGGCAGTTAGAAAAGGGATCTTGGCCGGGCGCGGTGGCTCATGCCTATAATCCCAGCACTTTGGGAGGCCGAGGCGGGTAGATGACAAGGTCAAGAGATCGAGACCATCCTGGTCAACATGGTGAAACCCCATCTCTACTAAAAATACAAAAATTAGCTGGTGGCGTGCGCCTGTAGTCCCAGCTACTCGGGAGGCTGAGGCAGGAGAATTGTTTGAACCCAGGAGGTGGAGGTTGCGGTGAGCCAAGATCGCTCCATTGCACTCTAGCCTGGGTACCAAGAGAGAAACTCCATCTCAAAAAAAAAAAAAAAGGGATCTTATGACAATGGGACAACAGGTGCTATGGTCCTGGACTAGGGGCAATGGTAGCTATGGCTACTAAGCTAAGGAATCCCCAAAGTGGAAACAAATAATGTGAGCAGTGAGGAGATGTTATTTAATACAGACCTTTTGGTGGTCTGAAAACCTCAGAAGCTCATTCAGATGAGCCATGAGTGAGGGCCACTTGAAAATGAAATTGAATGCAAAGCCTCAATTTTCTCAAAGAAAGCTGCTCTTCTGTGTCCTTGATCTCTCCCTTGCCTCCTACCCTGACCTCAGCTTTATTAAGGAGAAAGATAATTAAGAGTGAGACCTGGTCAGGCGCAATAGCTCATGCCTATAATCCCAGCACTTAGGGAGGCTAAGGTGGGTGGATCACTTGAGCTCAGGTGTGAGAGACCAGCCTGAACAGCATGGTAAAATCCTATGTTTACAAAAAATACAAAAATTAGCTAAGCATGGTGGTGCACACATGTAGTCCCAGCTACTTGGGAGGGTAAGGTGGGAGGATTGCTTGCGTCCAGGAGGTTGAAATTGCAGTGAGTGGTGTTTGCACCACTGCACTCCAGCCTGGGTGACAGAGCAAGAACTTGTCTCAAAAAAAAAAAAAAAAAGATCCAATATGCACTTATGCTCTTGGTTGAATATGCTGGGGAACTTCTGAGGAAAAATATTCAACTTTATGGCACTGTTGCATATAACTACTCAAGGCACCAGCCTTTGCAGCTCCTTAGGAAGAGGGGGCACTTTAATTCTGGGATTTGGGCAATTTTTGCAGTGAAGAGGAATTAAGTGACCCTGTTGCCTGTTTAGTGTACTATCGTAGCTTCCACTGATGAATGTATAAATGGTATCAATGTTTTACATGATTGAAATTTGAATGTTTATAAGTGCCAGAGGTGATTCTACTGATTGGGAAGAGATGCTGTATTAGTCTGTTTTCATGCTACTGATAAAGACATACCTGAGGCTGGGCAATTTACAAAAGAAAGAGATTTAATTGGACTTACAGTTCCACATGGCTGGGGAGGCATCATAATCCTGGCGGAAGATGAAAGGCATGTTTCACATGGCAGCAGACAAGAAAAGAAAGCTTGTGCAGCAAAACTTACTTTTATATAATCATCAGATCTCATAAGTCTTACTATCATCAGAATAGCACAGGAAAAACCTGCCCCCATGTTTCAATTATGTCCCACTGGGTCCCTCCCACCACACTTGGGAATTCAAGAGGAGATTTGGCGGGGGACAGAGCCAAACCATATTATGCCCCTGACCCCTCCCAAATCTTGTCCTCACATTTCAAAACAAGCCGTGCCTTCCCAGCAGTCCCCAAAGTCTTAACTCATTTCAGCATTAATTCAGAAGTCCACAGTCCAATGTCTCATCTGAGACAAGGCAAGACCCTTCTGCTTATGAGCCTATAAAATCAAAAGCAAATTAGTCACTTCCTAGATACAAGGGAGGTACAGAGATTGGGTAAATACAGTCATTTCAAATGGGAGAAATTGGCCAAAACAAAGGGGCTACAGGCCCCATGCAAGTCTGAAATCCAGCAGGGCAGTCAAATCTTAAAGCTCCGAAATGATCTCCTTTGACTCCATGTCACACATCCATGTCATGTTGATGCAAGAGATGGGCGCTCCCATGGTCTTGGGCAGCTCCGTCCCTGTGACTTTGCAGGGTACAGCCTCCTTCCTAGCTGCTTTCATGGGCTGGCATTGAGTCTGTGGCTTTTCCAGGTACACAGTGCAAACCATCGGTGGATCTACCATTTGGGTGTTTGGAGGATGGTGGCCCTCTTCTTACAGCTCTACTAGGCAGTGCCCCAGTAGGGACTCTGGGTGGGGACTCTGACCCCACATTTCCCTTCCTCACTGCCCTAGCAGAGGTTCTCCATGAGGGCCCTGCCCCTGAAGGGGCATCTGCCTGGGCATCCAGGAGTTTCCATACATCCTCTGTGTCTAGGCAGAGGTTCCCAAGCCCCAGTTCTTGACTTCTCTGCACTCACAGGCTCAACACCATGTGGAAACTGATGAAGCTTGGTGATTGCACCCTCTGAAGCTGTGTCCCAAGTTCTATGTTGGCCCCTTTCAGCCATGTCTAGAGCGGCTGGGATGCAGGGCACCAAATCCCTAGACTCGGTTAAGCTTCAAACTGATGGTGCTCATTGAGCTGCTGCCACTGTTCGGCCTCAGTGCCAGCTCTGCAGAGCCAAACATGGGTGGAGTTGCTCCATTCTCTTTGCAGAACTCAAGGCTATTCTCATATTCCTGGCCAGTGTTCCTTTTGATAAAGCTTGTTATATTTTTACTAACCTCTGGGCTACAGCCAAAGGCCTGGAAGTTTAGTCTGTCACTTGGAAAACTACAGACTGGTAGGTTAAAGACACCCTTTCTGGGGCTGCCAAATGTGATAATAAATCACAGTTAAACTGTTGGGTCACTCATGTAGATGTCCACAGTAAGGGCCAGTTCTCTGGTATCAAGCTGCTGATCAAGACTGCACTGTCCAGATTGCTACCATTTCTGAATGGATCCATCATTGTACTGGACATGGTGACCTATCTACCATTATAGTTTTGGCACAAAATAAAGAAAAGGACACTGTTTCTGATGCAGAAGCTACCTGGAAGACAGACTTGTTAAAGTGTTGCAGTGAGGGGGGTCGCATAGCATGGCCCATCATCTCCACCTCCCCACACCATGTTCTTGGCAGAGTGACTACATTAGACCTCTGATCTCTTCTCAGGGCTACCCACTGCGTTGCAATGCTGTTGATACTTTTTCAGTGATGATTATACAAGGGAGAGTTTCACTGCACAAGCTCCCTTCTCTTGTCTGCCACCATGTGAAACATGCCTTTTACATTCCTTTCAATGCAATATTGCTGTTCAAACCTGATCAGCAGATTCCAGCTAGACTATTGTAGCCCTTGAAACTAACCTGTGTCATGTGTATGGCCTCTGGGCTTTTGCAGCTTGACGAAAGAGTGTTTTTTTTTTGTTTGTTTCGTCTTGTTTTTTTTAATCACAAAAGCTACTCAACAAAGTCAAGGTATCTGATGGACATTCCATTCTCCCTATCATTCGCAAGCATCTAATATTGAATACTTGAATGGCCTCTTCAAAAATTAATTCAAGTAGAATTTTACTCTAGCCCTCTCATCTCCTTCAGGGCCATATACCTTAATTAGGCAATTTGGTCACTGAATGTGGCTATGCTCAGAAAGAGATCATCTCTTAGCCACTTCCTGGTTGATGATCAGGATGACCTATTGCTATTTTAAAATTCTCTCTGACCATGCTGCCTTTCTGTTCACTAATGGCAGTCCCAGCCCTGTGGGTTGGTAGCCCAGCCAGAAGGGGGCATAGGGATTTCAACTTAATTCTGGCTCAGGCTTCTAGATTCTCTTGTTGAGTTGATGTGACTCTATATCATGAGGCTAATTGTCACTTGGTTGAGTAAATTTGCTTCAGGAGTTACCCAGTGGCTCATGCAGGCCACAGTAGGTGGCATGAGTCTGCAAGTTTTATCAAATTGCCATATCCCTTTTGTACCTGACTCTTTTGGATGAAAGGCCTGGGTATGAGTAGAGATGATTGGAAAAAGGTGAATTATAACTATTGGAATAGGACAAGCTGATTTTATAGTGATGGAGAGAGAGCAGCTCCAATACATGAGGTGAGAATATCTTAGATGTTTGGAGGGGGAAGAAGCATCTCTAATAATGTCCTTCAGAGCCATCCCTGGTTTTTTCCTCAGGAAGAAAAATGCCCAGGTGCAGCTCTCCCAAACTGTCGCAAGCACTTTAAATGGTGAAACTGCTGAATCTGCCATCTCCCACGATGGTGCTGAGCATGCTTTTGATTATTATTCCCCTTCACCTTAGCAAGCATCTATCAGATAAAGCAGAGGATTGCCCCATTTTTTACATCTTCCATGCAAGACATTGATTAACACCACTGGATGTCTTCCTTACCTCCCTTCCCGTAGCTATTGCTTAGTCGTTCTGTGGGGTGAATGAGCAACACCTGTCTGATGGCATAGATAAATAGGACACTTTGGACTGACAGCCCTCAGGCAATTCCTGCAAAAACAGGGACTAGCCTCAATGATTCAAACTGAACCAGAAACCCTAAGGGTTACCAGCTTACCAGCGGGCCAAGTTGGAGAAACTGACAAACTATGCCCTCTGAATGATGTATGTTCCACTAGAGAGGCCAGCAACTGTAAACAACACTTGCTTTCCAGGGGCACCCTGTGTGCCCTAAGGTCTTTATTTCCTGTGTAGAATCCAGGAGTTAGCTTGTCTCCCCTAAAAACACCTTTAGGGGTAATCATAAGATCC